TTGTGTTTTTATTCGGTTTTATAGAAGTTCACAATATCGCATTGCCTTGATGGCTCGGCGGCTCAGAATGAGCTTTGGGTTATCCTAAAAACGCTAATAATGAGATATCTAGCCCTAGAAAGTTGTCTAGTAGCAAAATCTTTCTCTAACAGTGGGCCAAGAATCGATGTCATTTTGAATGTGGCGCTTCCAGGCAGGACCCACGTCGGTGTCATAGGTATGGGCGGTGCATGCGTGTGTTGTTGATCGTTGCTGTGCGGACGCTCAGCGGCGGCAACGATGGTCGTGGTGGTGCCAGCCGGATTTTTCTCGAAGTCGCCCCTTCTCATATCCCGGCGTCTCTCTTCGTTTAGCGCTGTCACTGGCGCTGTCCAGCTATCGGCAAATGGCTCGTTATCGCGGCGGGTCGCGTTCTTCGCGTTCACAATTCCTATAGATGTTTTCTGAAATGCTCTATTCCTCGCTGAAATTCTCAACTTTGTTCAATTTCGTGAAATCTAACTTGTTTTCTATTGCAGTAGTTGCTCCAGAGAACATGGCACGTCCTCAAGTCTTCTTCGACATCACCATCGGTGGCAAGGCGTCCGGCCGTATTGTCATGGAGGTATGCCCTAGACAATCAATATTTCAACAATTGATGACTCCTCTCTGACTCTTGTGTAACCCAGTTTTTCAGCTTTACTCCGACATTGTCCCTAAGACCGCCGAGAATTTCCGTGCTCTGTGCACCGGCGAGAAGGGAATGGGCAAATCTGGCAAGCCGCTGCATTACAAGGGATGCAAGTTCCATCGTATCATTCCCAACTTCATGATCCAAGGCGGTGACTTCACCCGTGGCAACGGAACTGGCGGCGAGTCGATCTATGGCGAGAAATTCCCCGATGAGAACTTCAAGGAGCGCCACGTTGGCCCAGGAGTTCTATCTATGGTGAGTGAGCGTTCTGGTCTGTTTATGGTTGTAGCGCTATGGTGAGGGTAATGTTGGTTATGGTCGACGGACTACTTAAACTCAGCCCTTTAACCCCCTCTGCGCTCTCTCGCGGGTCCCTCTCCTCTCCAAGGCTTAGTCCTAGGGCATTCACCCGTTCTCTAATCGTCTGTGCTCTAGCCATCGCGGCAGGACCATTGAGGAAAAATCAAGTAGTCCGTAAACCAGTTGGTTATGAGTGCTGTTGGAGGGAACTATCGATGGACGTAGTGTTTTCTGTAATTTTACACTGGGTTGTGTATTGCGATCCGATTTACTGGCTGTTGAGCGTAGCGCCGAAATCGGCCGGCAATCGCCCCTCAATTTTCCCATCTATTATTCGGCCTATTGTAATATTTCTTTGAAGTCGTACTAGGTGGTGAATTTGAACGAGTGAATTCGAGTATGTTTTTAGGCGAACGCTGGTCCGAACACCAACGGCTCCCAGTTCTTCCTGTGTACGGTGAAGACTGAATGGCTAGATGGTAAGCATGTAGTGTTTGGACGCGTCGTCGAGGGTATGGATGTTGTGAAGCTAGTTGAAAGTCACGGATCACAGTCTGGAAAACCGTCCAAGGATTGCGTTATCGCCGACTGTGGACAGCTTTAGGCTGTCTGTGATCTCTCTGCGTTCGCTGCTCTTTTCTCTTTTATTTTTTCTTGTTGTAATACCTGTGTGTTTACCGGTAAATGTCACAAAGATTGTTGTATAATTTATTATGCATCATTCAGTAAATTTTTATAACCTTGAATGAACTCAAGACAGCTGGATCATTAAATGATGTCGTTTGGCATTTCTTAGTGACAGCACATTGACAGGGTACAAGTGGTGATTTGTGACGTGTGGTTTTAAGGTGGGTCTCATGTTATCAGTTACACGTTTAATTACAGTTTAAGTGCTTTGCGAACGTGCACGGCCGGGAGAAAGGGAAACGTGTGGAATTTTTGGCTAATCAACCAAGTCTCTTGTTTCAGTTCCGATTTTTTTCCCAATATTTCCAAGCCCAGGCTCTCTTTCGCATGGACGCTGAAGAACAACAAGCTAACCTGCTTAATTTCTAACTGAAGTAAAGCAGGTTTACTTGTTGTTGTTCAGCATCCATTCGAAAGGGAGCCTGCGCTTGGAACAAACACCCACTAAGTAGCGTCAGCGCTTTGTGTAGCAAAATACCAACATAGGGGTATTTGTTTCTATATTTGTACGCATTTTATTTCGACCACTTTCATATTCATACATTCAATGTTTTGCAGCCCTGCGAATTTTCAAGTCTCGGGGGAATTTATTAGGCCCAATTTTCAGCGCTTCATATTTCTCAAGATGCAGGGAATGCTTTGAAGCGGAGCGGGTGATTTCTCCTGCTAGGCAGCTATCCCGGCGGTTTTTCTGAGCCACATTTCGCCCGCATATGTCTATTTATTGGCAAGTCGATATTTTATTGATTCGGCCAATGCGCTGTATTCCTTCAGGGTTGAGAAAATCTGCTAGGCCTACTAATGAAGTTAGGAACTGCCATAGCCTCTCGTGACCAGTTGTGGTTCATCGAAATGGATATGCGGGGTTGTTATGGGTACCGGTCTCTACATGGTTGCCCTCACAGGCCTATACCGTCCAAATTAATGCGTTACCGATTTGAGAGGTAAACCAGTCTTCTTCGAAATTGTCTTTACTACAAGTAAGAAAGTGTGGGTTCTCTGCTCAACACGTTGTGCAGTCACCATCCAGCTAGCGGCAAACAAATCTGTCTTTACTTACGCTTTCACATGGCGCAAAACCGATTTGTCGACAGAGCTTCGATGGGATTAGTGCTGCATATCATTCGTAGGGGTTCGGGGGAGGGATACGGTCAAAGTTAATGATTAGCATGGATTTGTTAATATTTACTTTTAGACCGGTGTTGTTACGTTAGCAATGTTTGATGAGACCGTCGACGTCCCGAATGAACGACGCAGCAAAAATAACTGCTGGGAACCAAAATGTGGATGTTCTCTGCGTTCTCCAAAAAATGCCACGGCACATGCCGAAACTGAAACGACGACATTGCTCTTTGTGCCACGCAAATAGTGAATATTGATGCCCCGGTATTCTGTACTTTGATGCGGTTTTCCTGTTGGAACGATGGACTCTGAAACTGGTAGATGTGTCCGTACTCCTCTACTCGAAAGAATCACTCGTGACAAAATGTGCATTTTTTTGCCAGAGTTCTTCAGAGCGCGATCTAAGCTTAGCTTATGGTTGGCGAACGATGTATGTTTACCAATTTCTTTTTTACGACCCCCCCCCCTCTGGAGGGCCTCGATACGACCCCCCCCAGGGCCAACTCCTCACGACCATCCTCCACCACCCACTATATAACGGCAAAATTTTCACACTCAACTCAACCCAAAATCCCAGCCTACAACCTAATCCGCTCTCCGTTCCATAAAAAACATCCCTTCCCTTACTGTAACATTGACGCTACCTCGCGAAATACGACCCCCCCCTTTTCCACCCCCAAATACGACCCCCACCCCTCGTTGGACTTTGTCCAACGGACGGTTGACCCTGCTTCCCAGGTCGTCAAACAGTAGCGCAAAACAGTTCGCAGACCACGCCCTTCTGCTTAACCCCCCAATCCGTCGTATTATTGTGACGAATATTGTTGTCAGAATTAGTTTGCGATAGTATGTTGTTGTCGATTCCACGACATTTTGGCACTTCTGACTGACATGCAGTATTCGGTACTCTGGGTAGCGCCATTGCATCATCCGTTTAGTGCTGGGCAGTAGGCATTCAATGCTGAGCAACGTTCCGTTGGCTTTATGTCCACGATGGGGAATGTATTGGGGGCGAGAAAGGGGGTCGTGTTTTTCGGTTTAATGGTTGAATATAGTTTATACAGTGCGTATAATAAATATAAGACGCACCCCTAAAATTACCGTAGCCGGACTCCACAGAAGTCTTTGGCAAACAGGCTTATCACCATCTGAAACCAGCATGCGCGAAAACCTATGTTTAAGGCTTCCACGTGAAATGGAAAGAATTCGGCATTTTTTAAATAGGTGAACATTATTTTGGCTGTATCAAAAGTATAGACGCACCTCGGAAATCTAATACATTTGTTATGAAAACGAACATGTAACAACTTCTTAATAAGATTATTGTTCCTCCATGCTTCAAATTGATTTCGAAAATCTTGATTGCCATTGATTCAGCTAATTATAAGCAGTGGTAATCTAAACAATCCTGCCTGACCATTGCCATCTAAGATTTGCTCTTATCGAAGGTTCTTCCTAGTAGTGACATCTCCGAAAAATGCCCTAGATGCTTCTATGAGTAGCTGTCGGGTGTATGGAGATGTATATTTCGCTACGTACCATGATTTGTCGTGAGCTGCTGCGGTGGGGCGCACGTGTCTTGGTTGGAAAAAAAAAAAAAGTTCTCCTTCTTCGGAACGTGCCAGAAAAGGTAGCAGATGACGACGTAGCACGTCCTGGTAGTCCGACGAGTCCATATGAGGAGAGGCGAAGGGCGACCTCAAGCTTCCAGTTTGATGGAATCGTACCAAACTATACACTGCCTCTACAGAATACGTCAGGGGGAGGAACTTCAGTTTCTTGCAGAGATCCCCCAAGTAGAACGCATTTCCATCTGAGCCTTCCAAGTAGAACTATTTCTCGTCAAAAAATAGGATCTGATAGGAAATTTCAACTCAGAGAGCTTCATGAGGAGGACGTGATCTTCGATTAATTCGTTGCCATTTTCTTTCTGACAAACTGGGAGTCGGGCCTCCTTGTACGTGTTGGTAAGTGGGGGGGGCGGAGACGACACCTAACTATGTTGTTGTTGCGCTTGGTTGCCCTACATGTCGTCATTCTGGACAATGGACCCGGTAAGGTGGCTCGAACTCAACTGTTGCTGATAGTCGAGTTGGAATAGAGGCGTCTAATCGCACGTTCCTGCTGTGGAGCTAGGCTTCTTCGGCCTTCCAGAACTCTTTTTCTCTCCCTTAGTATCCTGGGTCATGTAGAATCGGTCGATCCTTGATGAACGCTGCACTTGTTCAGTATTTCGACAATTGGTTAGGTATGCTGTGTACAGGGCGCGAACCTGTACCTACTCGGTTTCTAAAGAATGCGGACCTTGTGGCATTCTTCGATATTGTGCAGAGTACTCATTCCTACTTATTTCTTTGCTGGAATGGAAAGTGGTTCATGTGTAGCCTATTTATTTTAACCAAGTTAATGGAGTGCGTCTATACTTTTGATACAGGCAAAATAATGTCCACCTGTTAGAAAAAGGCCGAATTCCTTCCAATTCACGTGGAAGCTGGTAAACATAGGTTTTCGTGCATGCTGATTCAGATGGTGACAAGCCTGTTTGTCGGGAACTTCTATGAAAGTCAGCTGTGGTACTTTCAGGGGTGCGTCTATACTTATGATACGCACTGTATAGCACCCGACCCTCGTCTGCAGTTTCGTGGAAGTGGTGGTTGGCTGAGTGCACTGTCGATCAGTGCTATAGTAAAGCTGGGGGGGGGATGTATTTCGACGCTCCGAGGGGGCGTCCGTAAAAATTGTTGAAACTGATCCAACTGTGCGGTTGACCTGCTTTCAATGCGCCATGTTCACTCTATACGTTCGGGAGTATATGGGACAGGAAAAATCAGCAATTTGCTCAAAAATTGGCACCACCCAAGTCATTGGCTTCGTGCAGACTAATTGCGCTACTCCAAATGACGCTTACAACCGGAACGTGGGCACATGAACAGAAGTCGGAAGCATGGCGCACTCCAAACAAATAGTTGAGCCTTTCGACTTATCCTTTACGAGTGCGCTTTGGTAGGGGTCGGTATGTATATTATCTGTGTAGAGCTCCGAGGTCGTACTACTAGGTTTAAGGTTGGGAGCAAAGGCACAAACCATGTGGGAGTATATGGAGCTTTGTTGCCATTTCACCTGGACCTTTGCCAAGAAGTCCATTCATACAACCGCTTGGGTTATCTTATCACCCATTCGGGTTACATGGCGGCGAAATGCATAAGAGTCTCCGGTGAATTATGCACGCGTTTTTGTGCCGCGTTCAAGGAAGGCGTGGCGCCGAACCAATCGATAATCATGGCTGTCATTAGGTCGCAAATCGGAGGTTGGACTTCGCCACTTCTACGGCTTGTTAACATTGCCGAAAAAAGACTTCCACGTTGCGCGTTTCGTTGCTATGGAACCCTATTCTGCTGTGCTCAAGTGGTTTTTCCGTTTACAATGTGCCTCCGGGAATTCAGAGATAGCTTGGACCTACCCTAAGGGAGATGTGAGCCGGAACTCTCGACCCACGAGAACCAGCCTGTTATCTTTCCACGGTTTTTCGGCTCTTCAGCGTTATCTTTTCATGGAAAACTGCACGCTGACAAAATGCCGTGGTCGTTTCATGGTGTTGGTGAACTGTCGATGAACCGATTGTTTGTGGTAGGTGGTGGTTTGTTTGCTAATGACATATTCTGTGCCGTTATCGCTTCGAGAGGACCCGCCCGAACAACAACTGATAACGATCTGCGATACAATTCTACGAGAAGTGGTAATATAAGTTAAGGAATAAAATTTTCGTAGTCCAGCCCCTTTTTGAGATGCGCCACG